TGGGCGTTAAAGTTTGTATTGCTTCCAGACCGGGTTCGATGGTGCGAACTGTTTCCGACCGTACGCTGGCGATATCGCTGAATGGTTGAAGCGGAACATCATGCTCATATCGCGTGGATCCGGCGGAAGGTTGTTTGAACGGAGTGCGGTGGATTTTGGCGGTGGAAATGGCCAGAACAAAGCCCGGAACATCGGGCTAAATCGCCGACCGTGGCGATGGTGGGCGACGGATCGGTCGTCGGCGGACGAGCATATCTGGCTCGGTTCATGGGAACGGCGAAATAAATGTTGACCGGCATACCGCCATTTCGGCTTTAAATAATACCGATTACACTTATCGGAGACTGATGCAGTCGACTACGTGGAAATTAAAGTGGGTTGGTGGCATTTCGGTTCAGAGATTCACGGCTTAAAAAGAACATACTAAGAAAGTGTAATCCCAAATATAACATATGTTGCATTTGACCGCTCTCTAAATGGCATGTAATCAAAATGAAAACAGTTTAAACTCCCGACTAAAGATAACAATATCGACACACTTAATGGTATAAGGAACTGTTATTATGTTGAAAGCAGTGCTTGAGAATATCGTTCACAGGAAACAGTTTCACGATGTACCTGAACTTGTCCTTAAATGGAACAATGTCAGGGTGTAACACACGGCACAGTGGGTGAGTGTATCTTGTCTTCACACGGGGAACAATGTCAGAGTGTAGCACACGGCACGGTGAGTGAGTGTATCTTGTCTTCACACGGAACAATGTCAGGGTGTAACACACGCTACAGTGGGTGAGTGTATCTTGTCTTCACACGGAACAATGTCAGGGTGTAACACACGCTACAGTGGGTGAGTGTATCTTGTCTTTACACGAGGAACAATGTCAGGGTGTAACAAACGGCACAGTTGGTGAGTGTATCTTGTCTTCACACGAAACAATGTCAGGGTGTAACACACGGCACAGTGGGTGAGTGTATCTTGTCTTCACACGAAACAATGTCAGGGTGTAACAGAAGGCAGAATGAGTGAGCGTATCTTGTCTGCAAGGGGAACAATATCAGGGTGTAACACACGGCACAGCGGGTGACTATATCTTGTCTTCACACGGAACAATGTGAGGGTGTAACAGGGTACAATGGAGTCCATGGAGGGAGAACAACGTTTTTCCAAGAGTAGATATTATTGTTTTCGTATGTGGATCACACCATGGCTACCATAAAACACTCCTTTATTTGTAAGGCACCCAGACAGGACCGTCAAACAACCAGATATATGGCCACCCTCCACCATCCTCCACACGTCTTGGTGTTGTCCCCTGCGCATGGCTCGTTGCACTCGTTGTCGGACACCTTCTCGGAGCCACTCTTGATCTCGTTGCCGCAGAAACAATCCCATCCAGCCTTCAAAACAAACCATGTCACTGACATATTCTCGCACGTCTTTCGTCACATTGGAGTTTTTCCTGTTTTCTAATAGATACTGGTATTTCTTCTTTTCATTACTTTGTGGTATTTTCTGGTGTCTGGTGTCTGGTGTCTAGTAAACCGACTGACACCCTTACTTCTACATAACCTTCACTGTCACTTTGTGACATACAAATGAGTGACTCCTTTTATGATGCACAGCCCGGTAGAGTTTAGGAAATACTGAGCGTTAACCTTACTTGAATAAATATTTATTGTATTCTTTCGCAGACATGGATTGAAGAATACGACATTGTAAACTTCTCATCATGGAAAACAACTACGAGCACTTGTCTGAAACACACAGACTGTTGTTTGCAGGGTATTTAAGAGACTTTATAAGAGTATAACAAACGGGAGGAGAAACTGATGTGAAAAGTATAATTATACATAAAGAAGGAAATAGGGTTCAAAAGTCTGCTATGTATGGTACTAACTAAGTAAGTATGCTATAGTCGCCTCCCACATATATCAATAACGGATGTACCAAAGGAGGAGGGGAGGACTGAGGAGAGATTAGTGCAGAAATGAGCAATGCGGGTTTTTTCTAAGTCCAAAGCGACTTATTCAAAACAGACCATGGCTTTGTGCAAATTGGTGTGCGATAATATTGTATTACAATATCGCAGACGTGAAAAATAATAACTTTAATACTGAAACTATTAAGGATTTAGCTACCATGGCGTCTTACTATCACTATAAAAAGAAACAGGTAGGAGGGGTCGTCTCAAAAGCAAAACCAAGACGGGTGTCGCAGACGGTGGTTGGGGTCGGGCTGGGGAACTAAAACATTAGCTAAAATAAGATAATCAAACAGAGATATATTCAGTACACATGAAAAAACATAAAATATATTTGAGATGACCCCTTGTGCCTGTGGGCAGCACGTACATTTCATGCCATGTGAGTCGACGGTCCGTTGTCATACCTGGCTCAGCAACCAAATTGCCATCTTTTGTCTGATCTATTGTTTTCAGCAGTTATTCGTATTTTTTCTAAGTTTTGCCCGATTTTACGGATAAACATGCTTTTCTGGATATCTTATTACAGCATGTACAGAATCCCTTCATGCAGGCATCCGAAACAGCACGCAGACAGTGGGAACACACGAAAGACCAATCAGTACTGATACAGTACGCCGACGTCTTAACAGCGGGAACCTCCTGGGAGACCTTACCGCTGACTTATCCTCACCCCTCGTCATCGGCGTGAACGTCTACAGTTTACCATACAACACCAAAACTGGCGATACAGGCAATGGAGAACTGTTCTGTTCACAGATGAGAGTCGGTACTACGTATCAACTGCAAATGGCAGAACAGGAATATGGCAACGACGTGGCCAGCGTTACTCAGACCAATGTGTTATGGAAAGAGACTCATGGGGAGGTGCAAGCATCATGGTATGGGGTGGAATAGGCTTGAACCAGAGAGTGGGTCCTGTGGTGTTCCAGAACCTTGGTCCAGGGAGAGGAGGCGGCAATACAGCGGTGCGCTACATCGACCAAGCTCTCAGACCCCACGTCATACCACATTTCGCACGTCACCGGAACAACATTTCCCAGCATGATAACACCCGGGCCCATACTGCCAGAGCTACACGGGACTTCATACAGCAAAACGGTGTCAACAGTATGCAGTGGCCAGCCCTTAGTCCTGATTTAAACCCAATTGAACATCTTTGGGATGACTGAATAATGTCATACCAAGGCCGAACACAGCTGATTTATTGCGCCAGGCCTTTCCCAGAGTGTGGTTCCAGGTGCCAATGGCCTTCATCAATCGATTGGTGCACTCCATGCATAGACGCTGTGCTGCAGTTATTGCCACTCGTGTGGTCACATTCGATACTGATGTTAAGAGTCTGAATGGACTGCAACGTCCACGTAATTTCTTAAATTGTTATTTATTGATGTGTCAAGATATTGTACACAAAAAATGGTTTTGATCCGCTTATTATCTCCATTTCTGTAATGATTTGATTACAGTGCCTATCCTGATTTTGAATTCGTACTCACGGTTCTTTTGCTGCTGAGTATATGTAAGACTGTAAAGTTTTAAAAACTAGATCAGCTAGGAATACTTGTTTCAAACACACGTATTGTTTGCAGGGGTATTTGGAAATGAATTCATAAGAGTGAAAGAAGCTAGAACAGAAACTGATGTAAAAAGTGGGTAAGTAAATAGGGTTCAAATGTTATATAAGGCACTTATTAAGTAAGTATATTCACCTCCTACCTATATCAATAACGGATGTACCAAAATATCATTGTTAGTTACACGGGTACTTGCCAGGTCGTACGAGCTGATACCGATTGAAACAGGTCGTATCATCACATACTAACAGGCAAATGGCCGAGTAACGAAATTCAATTTATTACCTTTTAGATTTTTAGGTACAAACAACGTGATAACACAATTATTCCTCAAACGTTTCTTTTCGCTAGTTTATGCCGCGGTATGGGACACAAAACGTTACGTCAGATGTGTAGCGGCAGAGGAACATTGACGATTGATATTTGAAGGGACAATAACTATTGTACGCTTAAAAATATGGTTCAAGGGACGTTAATTCAAATGATACCGCCGTTTATGACATATCTTAAAGACCGGTATATTTCCACTTCATCAAAATTGCAAATTCTTACAAATGTCCCTTAAAGAACGTTTGCTGATAATAATAGCTGAATTCCCCAATTGTGTTGGCTTTGAATGTCAAAGTTCGCAAACGGTCAAGGTCCTCCATACTGGAACAGCGTAGGACGGATTCATAAACTTTAGAGTACGACTTCATGTGCACTGGCTAATAACCAATAAAAAGTCCTCTAACATAACTAAAGGGTAATATAACGTATTATCATATTTCTCAACACTAGTAGATCTCAGATCTGAAATACAGCCCTTAATACCCACCTCAAGTCCATAGAAGGAGTATCCCTTCAGGGTGCAGTGATTTCGACACATGTCAATCGTCATAGCTGTGGTGTCCTTAATGTGTTCATTGAGAAGGAGACGAGGGGTTTTATCCTGATAGCAGCCCCTATATGCAGGACCTACAAGACAAACAGTAGACATTACTGGTTCATACAGCAGTCCCTATATACCGGACCTACAAGACAAACATTAGACATAACAGGTTCATACAGCAGCCCCTATATACAGTACCTACAAGACAAACATTAGACAATTCCTGGTTCATACAGCAGTCCCTGTACACAGGACCTATAAGACAAACATTAGACATTACTGGTTCATACAGCAGCCCCTATATACAGGACCTATAAGACAAACATTAGACATTACTGGTTCATACAGCACCCCCTATATACAGGACCTACAAGACAAACATTAGACATTACAGGTTCATACAGCAGCCATTATATACAGAACCTACAAGACAACCATTAGATATTACAGGTTCATAAAGGAGCCCCTATATACAGGACCTACAAGACAAATATCAGACATTAGTGGTGGCCACAGCAGCCCCTATTTACAGGACCTACAAGACAAACATTAGACATTACTGGTCCATACAGCAGCCCCTATTTACAGAACCTACAAGACAACCATTAGATATTACTGGTTCATAAAGGAGCCCCTATATACAGGACCTACAAGACAAACATTAGACATTAATGGTTCATACAGCAGCCCCTATATACAGGACCTACAAGACAAACATTAGACATTACTGGTTCACACAGCAGCCCCTATTTACAGGACCTACAAGGCAAACATTAGACATTACAGGTTCATACAGCAGCCCCTATATACAGGACCTACAAGACAAACATTAGACATAACTGGTTCATACAGCAGCCCCTATATACAGGACCTACAAGACAAACATTACCCATTACTGGTTCACACAGCAGCCCCTATATACAGGACCTACAAGACAAACATTACCCATTACTGGTTCACACAGCAGCCCTATATACAGGACCTACAAGACAAACATTACCCATTACTGGTTCACACAGCAGCCCCTATATACAGGACCTACAAGACAAACATTAGACATTACTGGTTCATACAGCAGCCCCTATATACAGGACCTACAAGACAACCATTAGACATTACTGGTTCATACAGCAGCCCCTATATACAGGACCTATAAGACAACCATTAGACATTGCAGGTTCACACAGCAACCCCTATATACAGGACCTACAAGGCAAACATTAGACATTACTGGTTCATACAGCAGCCCCTATGTACAGGACCTACAAGACAACCATTAGACATTACAGGTTCACACAGCAACCCCTATATACAGGACCTACAAGGCAAACATTAGACATTACTGGTTCATACAGCAGCCCCTATGTACAGGACCTACAAGACAAACATTACACATTACTGGTTCATACAGCAGCCATTATATACAGGACCTACAAGACAAACATTGGACATTAGTGGTTCATACAGCAGACATTACATACAGGACCTACAATACAATCATTAGACATTACTGGTTCATACAACAGTCCCTATGTACAGGAGCTACAAGACAAACATCAGACATTAGTGGTGGCGACAGCAGCCCCTTTATACAGGACCTACAAGACAAACATCAGACATTACTGGTGGCTACAGCAGCCCCTTTATAGAGGACCTACAAGACAAACATCAGACATTACTGGTGGCGACAGCAGCCCCTATATACAGGACCTACAAGACAAACATCAGACATTACTGGTTCATACAGCAGACCCTATATACAGGACGTACAAGACAAACATCAGACATTATGGGTGGCTACAGGAGACCCTATATACAGGACCTACAAGACAAACATCAGACCTTACTGGTTCACATAGCAGCCCTATATACAGGACCTACAAATCAAACATCAAACATTACTAGTGGCTACAGCAGCCCCTATATACATGACCTACAAGACAAACATCAGACATTACTGGTTCATACAGCAGCCCGTCATGCATACACCCGCATGGTTCACCGCAGTTGAAATCGGTAGATGCGTCAGGTCAGACCTGGCCATTGTCACATTTGTCTATATTAACTTCCCTTTTTCAATATAATTAATTTCTCCAAGTGTGAAGTTTTTTTCTTTTTTGGTTTAGTATATGTTGTATTGCCATTCAGTTTTTGAGGCACGCATGGTTGTATTTGGTGCGGCTGTAGCTAATGTGATGAGTATAGTCTACATGGAAGAAGGGCAAGGTATTTAACAATATAACCATTACCTGTGGTGGTAAGTCTTTGGGTCGAAGTGGTTGTCACCGCTGCCAAAGTGGTTGTCTCTTGTGCTTTTGCTGACGTGGTCTGCAAAATGTTACACGATTTCTAAAAACTATATTTAAAGATATGAGTGGAATTTTCTTATCAACATGATTACTAAAAGTCGTCTTGGTTTGTAAAATGTAGTTCTAAAGTCTCCCTTCCAAGAAGCGTTTCTTCTACCTAAACGTGAGCAAGTTAATGGCCAAAAATATAGTTGCCAGGCGTGATCAGTAATACCTTCACAAACGATGGCGATAACTAACTTACTCTAGTTTATTTTCGCTTTTGAGGATGGTGGGGTAGCCCTGTGGTTAAAGCGTTCGCTCGTCACGTTGAGGACCCGGGTACAATGTGTGAATCCCATTTCTGGTATCTCCCGCCGCCATATATACCTGGCTGTCTATTGAACTACCTTATCCAGATAAGCTACAGCGACTTTCTGCTTATGTTCTGTTGAAGATTCTTACCGCTGGGGCTAATTGTTGTAAAGTCCTGACATGTATTCACATGAATTAGTTTAACCATACATCGGAATAAACACGCATTATAATAACAATCACGTTGCTTATCCACCAATGCACGTGAAACACAACTTAAAGCTTTCGATCATAACGCCGAAGGCCCTGGTTCGATTACCAACATGGCGACAATGTGTGAAGCGCATTTGTGGTGTTCCCCGCCGGGATGTTGCTGGTATATTGCTAGAAGCGGCGTAAAACCACACCCACTCTACATTTACAGTACCTCATGTTTGATTTTCTCCATCATCTGCCGACACTCTGCTAGGAGGTCCTTCCACTTGTCTGCAGTGCAGCTGGCGGCGTCGGAACACGTACAGACGAAAGTTCGCGACGTCGGGGTATTCTTTGTAAGAGTAGCTTGACTCAACAATTGTCCCTGACAGTAACCCAGAGTCAGAACGTTGTAGACGGTAACAGCAGTTACAATCACATCCATCGTGTTCCCGTTTCTCTGTGATAATTAAAGTTTAAGACAATGACGTTGTTGGCAATTGCTAACAACGGAAAAGTAACAATGATGTCGTTCATAATCATCGGTAATATTGATCTGATTTTAATGGTTGTAATCAATATTGCTGCACCCTTATGCGATACACTGACATTAATAACAATGAATAAATTATTCACAGACTACAAACACACGGCTCGTTGTTGAATGGCCAATTTCAATTAAGCAATTAAGAATTCATTTATCTGTCCATCTAAAGTAAGAATAAACCTAACAGAATTGTAAATCAGGGCTGCAAAATAGCCGCTGTTCTCTCATTACCACTGGAAGAAAGTTACCAGGACAGAGTTCATCTCCCACGGTTTGATATTACAATCAGACTCTTCCAATGTTCTTAACTGCCCTTTTAAGATCCAACCGCCTTTATCGAATACCAGTATTTAGAACTAATCGTGCCAAACAATATGTTGTGCCTGTATGAAGTATTAGCATTCTGAACAGCTAAACCTTTCTATGTTTTAGAGAACATGTAACACATGTGGTCTCACGTTTGTTCAAATTGCTTCCGTTCACATATCAGTCAATGGGTATCCGGGGGAATGAAATGGACAAATTTCATAATGATCGTACTTTGAGCATACACCTTGTATATGGCGTTTAGCACCTGGTGCCATGTACTATATTGTCCAGAATTTGTTCTTTAGAACAAAGAGGAGACCCTTGATCTCAATGTCACTGATAGTGCCTTTTTGGAAATAGTCTCCCAGTACATATCCCGCAAGTGTGATTGACTCAAATTTGTCTGCTAACACTGAACTCATATTTTGCAAAATGCCACCAAAGACTTTACTGTATGGTAAATTTCAGGTTAAAACAAAGCTTTGACATTTCTATTGCATCTGTTTTATCCAAAGCCTTTTAACCATCTCTATTCAATAATGGTTAAAAACTCCATTCAAAGTAAGAATAAACTAAACAGAATTGTAGATAAGACCAGTAAAATACCCAGGACTCCCTTACCATGAATTGGAAGACGTTCACCAGGAAAGCGTTCTCTCCCACTTTTTAAAATACGAATTGATTTTTATATATAAACGATTGGGGATCTGTGCGATGGAGGTCTGGGGTGGTAACCCTCCTCTTTATTGAGCAGAACGCTTAGCAAAAGCAAAGGACTCAGCGTGTCCCCCACCCCCACCCCGGATTATTCCCCTTCTGATTGGAATGGTATCCTCCCTTCAGCTCATCATTATGGAAGAGTCTTTTAAGGGCGTGGGTATTGTTCTAATTTGACAATTGGCAGTTTCAAACTGTGTAACTAATGGCACGTGTTACTAATGGGAGAGAATCATTGGATTAGACCCTGACGTCTACGCCTGTCTTTGCGAGTACATCTCAAGTTGAATCGTCCCTCAAGTCATTGAAGACTTCAGTAAATGCTTTTTTGTTGTCAGTCCAGCACATCCATTTTAGTCATACATTAATTTTGATTATGTTGTGTCTGTTTTCGTCGACGAATACATTACAGTGAACATTTTAGCGTTCATATTTTGATGTAACTGGAGCTCTGTGGGCAGAGATCAAATGTTGTTGAAATGGAAGTAATAAAATGATTATCAAAGTACCTTTTATAAGTTTATATGTGTGTTATATGTGTTAAGTGTATATATTCCTTCAGCTTTGTAAATATATTCTGCACTGCCATTATTCACAAATCAGATGTAAATGAAATTTATATTGGTGAAAGCCTCATAAGTGTGCCGAATCCATCTGTTTCTTTTAAACACATATGCATTAAACATATAAACCTCGAAGCGGTCTTTTGTGACGTCATCCGGTTGTATATTTATAACTACTTCAACACAGCGTGGACCGTAAAGATCAGGATAAGAGTCGATCTTCAGCAACCCATGCTTATCGTAAGAGGCGACTAAGGGGATCGGGTTGTCAGGCTCGCTGACGTTGTTGACAAATGCAATTGTATCCCCATTGCGTCAATCTATGCGCATGCTGCTGAATTCTGTACCAGATTCAGTTATTTAGAGACCGATGCCATATAGCTAGAATATTGCTCAGTGCGGCGTAAAACAACAAACAAACAAACAGATACAGCGTGATGCTATTAGTCACAACACAGCAACATCTCTTGTCATGATACACCAGCACCAGCATGTTTGGAACTTGTATCTTATTTCTGAATGCTACTGTTATCCACTGATGGTGCCATATTAGAACTACAATGGAATGACAGTATTTCTCTACTCAGTCGTTGCAGCGTTCCATAATGCACGCACGAAATATAATACACGTTTTCCGTTCTAGAAGTCATTGAAAAGAATTATGTATGTTCTGTAGTCACTTGTGAATTGAACTAATTGAAAGGATCATCTGATTAATGATTATCCAAGAAATTATGTTCATCTATTAATTAGACGTCGCTTCCTGTTGTTGAAAACATTTTGTCTCGAATATACGCCTATGAAGACGTTTAGATAATGGCGATATTGCGCAGTATTACATATGAATAATTCCTATAAACAGTGTGGTGTAAGTGTCGGCTGGTAGATATATTTTATTCAGTAGTGTTGCCCAGAGACCTACAGTACAATGACAATTGCATCTAGATGCACGTGGTGCTAGTAAAATATTCAGTTTCTATTTGACACCGAATGAATTTGTCAGATAAACAATTATATTGATTTCACAATATCTTTATTTTTTGGATTTATAAGATTCATCCATTACAGTTTTTACTGACTTGAAAAATAATTACTAAATGATATTGGTAAAATATTCATCACTTGGCCGTACATTCATGACACTTCAAGGAGTGAAAAGAGATTGAGTGGCATTTTAGAAGTTGAGTGGGCGTACAATATATAACAAGTTTTATGGATAACAACTTCTTTATTTTCGTGAGTGCGACGTTTCGATACAGATTCTTGTACCGTTGTCAAGCAAAGAGTGATACATGAAGTGTAGGAGCTGCATATATATACTGTATATAACAATGAAACAACATAATAGACAAAGGAAACAACATAATTGCCATGATTGGCTAAGCAGTAAGCTGATGAAGCCAGTAAATTACATAAAGGATAGTGAGTGGAAGCCAGAGATGTAGTTACAATGAGATGTTTATACAATGGATGCGATGTTTATACAATAGACTGGGCTTGGTGGAGAGTGGATCATAAGCAGATGGAATGAAGTATCCTTGGTCACGGTTGATGGTAGGCTTGTGGCGTTTGATGTGAATGGCTTCTGTGAGCTTGCGTTTAGTGAAGTCCGTTTGGTTGTTGGCGAGAATGGTGATGTCGGACCACTCTATTTGATGATTAGGGTTGGCTTTGATGTGGTCAGAGATAGCTGATTTGGTGTCGGAATTAGCAACAGAGGTGCGATGTTCTTTGACTCGGGTGTTGATGGGTCGGGATGTTTCACCTATGTAGCATTGTCCACAATCACAGTCTATTTTGTAAATAACACATTTCGGGTTGTTGTTGTTGACGGTGGGTTGTTTTCTTCCGTTGGCATGGAGGAGGTTGTTGAGGCTGGAGGACGCTGAGAAGGTAGTGTCTATTCCTGCCTGTTGTTTCAGGAGTCGGCTGATTTGGTGTGATGGTTTACCAATGTAGGGAATGGATATCTTGATGGGGGCTGATTCTGGTTTAGACCTTTTGGCAGGAGGTGAAAGCGTTGCTTCGATGGTTCTGTTGACTATTTCAGGTGGGTAGTGGTTGCGTTCCACAAAGACTTTCCTCAGGTGTTCAATTTCTTCCTGTAGGTTTGTTGAGCAGATGTTTTTGGCTCTTCTGGTCAATGTAGAGATGACGCCGGTCTTGACTTTAGGTGGGTGGTTGGAGTTGTAGTGGATGTATTGATCCGTATGAGTTGGTTTTCTGTACACGGAGGTCTGGAGTTGGTTGCAGGAGGTGCGGGACACAAGGACATCAAGGAAAGGTAGTTGGTTGTTCTGCTCTGTTTCAATGGTGAATTTGATGCGGGGATGTTGGCTGTTGAGATGGGCGAGGAGCTGCTTTGGATCTTGCTGAGGTTGGAGGACGACGAAGGTGTCATCCACTTTGCGGTACCAGCAGGACGGTTTGAAGGGTGCAGTTTCTAGGGCCTTCTCTTCCAGGTCGGCCATGTAAATTTCTGTTAGGATGGGGGATAGTGGGGAGCCCATGGGAAGTCCGTGGATTTGCTCATAGATGGCATCGCCCCAGGTGAAGTAGGTGGAGTTGATGCAGGCGGAGGTGAGGCTGATGATAGAGTCGGTAGAGAGACTGGTGTTGAGGGGTTGTTGGAGGTTGTCAATTCTGTGACGTAGTGCTTGAAGGGCTTCATCCCGTGGTACATTGGTGAATAGGTCCACAACGTCGTAGCTGATGATTGGACCTGGGTTGGTGATGTCACGGATCTTGGAGCAGAAGTCAGTTGAATCATTGATGAAGGAGTTGGCAGATTTACCTAATGGGGAGAGTACCTAATGGGGAGAGCACCTCTGTTGCTAATTCCGGCTATCTCTGACCACATCAAAGCCAACCCCAATCATCAAATAGAGTGGTCCGACATCACCATTCTCGCCAACAACCAAACGGACTTCACTAAACGCAAGCTCACAGAAGCCATTCACATCAAACGCCACAAGCCTACCATCAACCGTGACCAAGGATACTTCATTCCATCTGCTTATGATCCACTCCTCCACCAAGCCCAGTCTATTGTATAAACATCGCATCCATTGTATAAACATCTCATTGTAACTACATCTCTGGCTTCCACTCACTATCCTTTATGTAATTACTGGCTTCATCAGCTTACTGCTTAGCCAATCATGGCAATTATGTTGTTTCCTTTGTCTATTATGTTGTTTCATTGTTATATACAGTATATATATGCAGCTCCTACACTTCATGTATCACTCTTGCTTGACAACGGTACAAGAATCTGTATCGAAACGTCGCACTCACGAAAATAAAGAAGTTGTTATCCATAAAACTTGTTATAAACTGTGTAATAGTTTCCTCGTTAAAACATATCCCTGCGACACCGTCGCATGGCGGGAGTAGTGTTGTGCGACGTCCAA